GATCTGAACAGAGTTACTCTAAGTGGACCAAGCTTGTCCCTAATCTTACTTCTGTATACCTGAAAGAACCCTTTTGGGTTAGTCTTTGAATCCCTTGCGACCTTAGCCTCATAATCCCTTTTTGCTTTCCTTATTCCTTTCTTTATTTCTCTCTTTAATTGAATATATTGATTTCTTAACTGTCCATCCCCTCTTTTGATACGCTTATATATGCCTCTCTTTTGACCAATGAGATGTTTTAATCTATTGTTCATCCATTTGGGATCATTTTTGTTAGATCTAATTTCCCTACTCGGAACAAAAGTTGTCTGGGCAGCTAGAACTATGCTCTGAAAAACGTCATATTGGCAACCAAGATCACCTACCTGACCCATAGTCAGGACATCCCAATTTAGCCCACCCAGGTAATTTTTTTCAATCCCATGAAGTCGGCCAAGCAAAAATCTGGGACATAGATTTGATTGCAGTTATCTGGGTAATTCCATGATATATTAAAACTAAGTGATTTGTGATCACTTTCCCCAAGCTCATCATTAACCTCAAGATTATTAATTAGTGAATCTTTGTTGGTAAGAACCAAGTCAAGCAGATTGTTTCCTCTAGATGGTTCTGTCACAAACTGTTCTAAAAAGCAATCCTGAACCTTATCAAGAAAGTCACTAGACTCAAGATTTCCTGTCACATTGTTCCAATCAATTTGTCTAAAGTTAAAATCTCCCATTATCACAACATTTTCATATCTAGATGCCTTATGAATTTCGTCCCATAACAGCTTACTGGTAATCACTTGACTCACAGCTCCCAGCACAACTGTAAGTAAAAGCCTCTGCTCCTGTGTTTAATAAATATATTGGTTAAAAGCTTCACTTTTATCCAATTTTAAGACGTAGTTCATCCTGCCTTGATTCCCATGTGCTTTTAGATCACCATGTTTTTTAAATACTTATCATGGAGAGTGATTTCTTAGGCAGTGGGTAACCTATGTTTCTTTCTAGCTTGGAATGTCAGCTCGGGTCATCTGGCAACCAAACAAACTTTACACAAGTTCTGGGACGTCACCATTTTATCTGCATACTTAAGTGTAGTCAACCCCAGGCAACTACCTCTCATCTTTGCAGTGGTGAAAGACCTGCGTTGATAAATTAGACACATGTGCAACTCTTGGGTATAATAAATTAGACACATGAGCAACTCTTGGGTATCTTTATTGAGGAAACGTTTCGCCACACAGTGGCTTCATCAGTCCATACAAAGGAGAATCTTGAAGAACAGGAGAAGGATGAGGTAATCAGTCCCTCAACCTTGAGTCGATGTGGTCAGTCCATCAATCTTGAATAGAATACGGCATACGTGCTGAGAAGGAGCTTATAAACCGTTGGCAGGAGAGGTGCAGCAGTCATAGGTCGTGTAACATTTGTTCAATGTTGAAGTAGGTCGTGCCCAAGAATTAGGCAAGCGAAGAATTCCCAAGTATTAAGATCCCAAGAAGTTGCACATGTGTCTAATTTATCAACATGTCGGTTCTCTGAACAATTCATCTACAAAAGACCTGCGTTCCTATCATCTTGACGGACTATTCAAGGCTAGAGACTCTCTGAAGAACTAGTCGTTGGGTTGTCACTCAACATCTGTGACCCCCCCCCTTAATCAGCAACGGCTACAATTTCTACAACACGCGGTGTCAACATCATCAGACACCCCAGTCTAACTGTATATATTAGCGTTGAATTCAGATTTTTTTTTTTCATTTCTCTTTCAAGTAGGATAAAAATTCATATTTGTTTTATATTTTCATTTCTAAATACATTTCTAAATAAAGTTTTTATATTTGGCTGTTATTATTCTTTTTCTATTCATTAATTTTCCTGATGAGCCAGCCAGCTTTGGTAATACTCAGTGAAGTTGTTACAGGGCTGAGTAAGCCTTCACAACCTATGTATCGTTATGTCCCCCAAAGAGGAGTTGAAGCAAGCCAATGGCAATAGTATTTACAAGTCACTTTTATTTATTATACCTCCAGCAGTATCTCGCCAAGGTAACCAGAAAACTAACATATTTATCATTCAGTAGATCTCTTACCAGAAGTGCACAGATATACTTCAAATGACCCTCTGAACTACAACATCCTCACCCCTTCTGCAGAATACAGGCACTGTACTGTACCTCTGGAACTCCACTCCGGCTACACGGTTTTCCTGAATTCATTCTTAATATTACCTTACAATAACAGTACGTTGAATGCACACTATGCAACTAAAAAATAAACTTAAATACTGTTTGGGCATATCGAGAAAAGTGTTTCATTATAGAAAATTAAAGTGAATTTAAGACACTTTGCAGAAATTAACAAGGATGTGGTAATGTCAAGTCTTGCCCCTAACGCGACGGTCTGGAGTTTTGAGACTCTCTGACCGCGGGTTCAATCCCGGCCGGGGTATGGTTTGTTTGAAATTGTGTCATTACGATTTCGTGAGTCACTACAGTTTTATCAGACTTAAAGATCAAAATAAGGAAAGAGTGAACACACTGTATATTACTAAAACTTCATGATACACCTCTGAGTGGAAGTTGCACCAGAAAGGGATTTAATAAACCTTGACTCAACTAACATGTGAACAGAGAATAGAGAATTTATGGGACTGGACATAAGCAATGTACGGGTTGCCCCAGGCGTAGTGTGTTAAGGCCCATATATATTTTTGACCCCCGAGCTTGTACACCGTCTGCGGTCTTCTTTGTCCTTCCCCAAGCTTCATGACTTTGACTTTGCACTTGGTGGGATTAAACTCCAGGAGACAGTTATTGGACCAGGCTTGTAGTCTGTCCAGATCCATTTGTAGTCTTACCTGGTCAACGTCCGCTTGCATTCTCATTAGTTTCACGTCGTGTGCTAATAGGGAATCCTTTGAATCGGTCTCTTCCGTCATGCCATTCATATATACAAGAAACAGCACCGGTCCTAGGACTGACCCTTGTGGAACCCCACTCGACACATGCGCCCACTCTGACACTTTCACGTACCCTCACTCGTCGTTTCCTTCCTGTCAGGTATTCCCTGATCCTTTGCAATGCTTTTCCTGCCTGTTTCTCTAGCTTTGTACTAGTCTCTTGTGCGATACTGTGTCGAAAGCCTTCTTACAGTTCAAGAAAATTCAGTCTAGCGTGTCTTACTTTGGTACCTCGTAGAACTCCAGTAGGGTTGTGACACAGGATTTCCCATCCATGAAGCCGTGTGCGCGTGAGTGCGTGCTTAATCACTCACAAACCCATGACTCAATGGAAATGAATGGTATAAAATACCGACACAATGGAAATATAAGCACTTAAGCATGTGACAGTCTCGTAATAAAGTTGGTAGAATTACCGACAATATGTGAAGTAAAAATGTCACATTAGTTGCACTTGTCCTTTTACTTTACATGTGACAGTCTCGGAAGTGTGTCACAAGCAGCATTCTCCACCTGACGCCATCCTCTAAATACTCACGTATCTTTCACCCAGGAAGATCTGTTTGTGACTTGATAAAGTCCACTGTGTGGGCGAAACGTTATCAATAAACAATCACATTATACTGCCTGTGTTTATATTCCCAAACCCATGATTCCTTGATCTAGTTCACTCGGGTGCCTTTCCCCCCTCCCCCCCAATCCCACACACACACTTACACATGGTTGGTTGGTTACCAATGTGTTTCATCATTATGGAGACCTGGCAGAGCTCTACCCACTCCTTGTAACTTGAACATCAACGCTAAACATTAACGCACAGTTACTGCATCACCTCTTTGGTTTGAATATTTCAACACTAGCTTTCTCCTTAGCAGGAAAAGAACCACTAAAACATAAACGTCCTCTAACCCAGACACGGATCCACAAGGCACTGCCCACTGTATTAAAGACATTTTCCAGAACAAGATATTAATGGGACTTTTCGCTCTCTACAGAGCGAAATGTTACCCCAATAAGATATTTTATTCCGCAATGCGTTTTCTCTTCACCCCGGGACAGCTACGTTTTCTGCCCAGTAGACACAGTGACGTAAGCCAACACGTGGCATAAAAAAAAAAATTAAACAGCAAGAGCGATTATTTTACGACGTTTCGCCCCCCTACAATAGGCGCAACGTCAAATTTCCTACATACTCATTAACACAGTTAACCAGCAAAAGGTGTCTTTCGCGACTAGTGAAATTAATGGTCTGTTTCTAATGAGATGTGTACAGACACATCTTGTTTTGGGTCGTATCTTTAATTCATGAGTTTCTTCGCTGTGCTCTTGTAATAAAGTAAACAAATTCTGGAAAAAAAAATAATTGCAATTATTGTGAACACAATTCATGGCAATGTGATTCTTTAAACACAATTCACTGCAATGTAATTAATTCTTTAAACACATTTGACAGCAATGCGATTCTTTAAACAGAACTTACAAGAATGTGATTGTGAAAGCAATAGACAGCAATGCTATTTTTTAAACAATGCACAGCAGAGAGTATAAAAACACTATTTTCAACGATGTGAGTTACCTGGAAATTCAAGAAGTAACGCGGGTTTCTAGCAATTCACCAGCAGCCTATCCAAATTTCAACAAGAGAATTTCACGACGTTAATTACTCTAGCAAGATAACTATATACAGTTTGGAAATGTGAAGCCATAATGCCTAATACCAATGTGATTCGTCGTTTTACTAAGATACACAATCGTCGAAACGTGAACGTGGAACGACAACAAATTCCTTCAACAGCGGTGATGTTCGTGTCGATTTGTAGATTCCGTGAGGGCGGTGGTAGCAGCAAATAGGTCAACCTAAATACCAAAGCTACACTGTTCAGGTTTAATGATTTTTTTTCACGGCAATAACCTAATGTAGAAATTATATATTAACAAACTATAACTAAAAAAATATATACATAACGTACATTCTTGAAAATATGGTAAATACGTGAAGTGCGCATGCGCCAACATTCAGTAAATAGAGAGCGCAGACATCAACGGGACTAGTAACACTCACGCCTTCACCTTGTGTGGATGTCCAGCAGCAGACGGCACTTGCTTTTTATCAGTTGCTAACACGTGTTCATCAGCATGCAACTAAGAGAGGTGGTGACGCCTAGCGAGGCTGACACGCCACAAGATTCTGCATGTCTACCATGGCAAACTCAGAATGGACATGGCTTTTATGATCGAGTATCGGAATACTAACTGCAACAAAGCAGCAGCAGCAGGAAAACTAGATCTTCACAGTAATACACGAGTTCTACGCCATCGCTGTATGTTGAAAAACTGTGCTCATAATAGGGATAGTACGTTGTGTAGTTCAAGGCTGGAGTACCCTGGCGAAGATAGTGATATAAGAGCGAGGTGTAGCAAGCAAACATTACACGAGACAGATGTGTACGCCAGTCACCCTACGCCGCTTATTCCAGCAGCAGCACAGCGATCACCCATCTGGCTACCACCTGTTTGTCTTCATGATCACGTTACCTTGTGCACTAGAGGTACATCCACATCCATGGCTCCACAACAACCGTCTAGACACCAGCAGCACACACCCCAGCAAGTACATCATCCCCTCATCCCACTCTACTACAGAAAAAAAGCTGTCCGTTATATGTAAGTATAAAGTCACTCAACCAGTATTTAATTCGCCATATTAACTAATAAATAGTCCCAGTTAATAAGTGGAGTTGTACCTATTATGTAAAGCAATTAGTAATACTGTACTAGCATGTTACATACAGCTCTTTATTAAGAAGAGACTCTTGATGTTCACAGACTGAAGCAGTTACACGTCGGTGGCAGCAGAGACATACACCAAGTATACAAAATCCAGCAACACATCATCAGCCTTGAGGAACAGATCTTCTATGCTGCCAAGTCTCGGGTAAGAGCACAGCTTCATCATTCTCTTTCCCTTCCCTCCCTCCCTCTCTACCCACTCACTGAATTTTCTTGGATTGCAAGAAGGCTTTCGACACGGTTCTTCACAAGAGGTTAATGCAAAAGTTTGAGGATCAGGCACGAATAACAGGAAAGGCACTGCAATGTATCAGAATATCTGACAGGGACGCAACAACGAGACATGGTACATGACGAGGTGTCAGTGGGAGCCTGTTTACCTGGAGTTTACCTGGAGAGAGCTCCGGGGGTCAACGCCCCCGCGGCCCGGTCTGTGACCAGGCCTGTGACGAGCGGAGTTCCACAGGGGTCAGTCCTAGGACCTGTGCTGTTTTTGGTATGAGTGACATAACGGAAGAGACTCAGAAGTGTCCCTGTTTGCAGATGATGTGAAGTTAATGAGGAGAATTAAATCGGTCGAGGATGAGGCAGGACTACAGAGACCTGGACAGGCTACAAGCCTGGTCCAGCAGCTGGCTCCTTGAATTTAACCCCGCCAAATGCAAGGTCATGAAGATCGGGGAAGGGCAAAGAAGACCGCAGACAGAGTATAGTCTAGGTGGACAAAGACCGCAAACCTCACTCAAGGAAAAAGAGCTTAGGGTGAGTATAATACCGAGCACATCTCCTGAGGCGCACATCAATCAGATTACTGCTGCAGTATACGGGCGTTTGGCAACCCTAAGAATAGCGTTTCCATACCTCAGTAAGGAATCGATCAAGACCCTGTACACCATATACGTCAGGCCCATATTGGAGTATACAGAACTAGTTTGGAATCCACACCTAGTCAAACACGTCAAAAAATTAGAGAAAGTGCAAAGGTTTGCAATAAGACTTGTCCCAGAGCTGAGGGGATTGTCCTACGAAGAAAGGTTAAGGGAAATCGAACTGACGACACTGGAGGACAGGAAGGTCAGGGGAGACATGATAACGACATATATGTGTCGTTACTGCGAGGAACTGACGAAGTGGACAGACAGGATGTTCCAGAGATGGGACACAGAAACAAGGGGTCACAATTATAAGTTGAAGATTCCTATGAGTCAAAGGGATGTTAGGAAGTATTTATCCAGCCACAGTTGTCAGGAAATGGAATGGCTTAGAAAGTGACGTAGTGGAGACAGGAACCATATATAGTATTAAGATGAGGTTTGATAAAGTTCATGGAACAGGGAGAGAGAGGGCCTGGTGGCAATCAGTGAAGAGGTGGGGCCAGGAGCTATGAATCGACCCCTGCAACCACAAATAGGCGAGTACACACACTCGTATTTTCCGTTGCAGATTGGAAAACTCGGTTTATATCTGCTTAGAGACTTACTGTGTCCTCAGTGTATCCTCCTCTCCCTCCCCACCCTTTTTTTACGCAGGGTTTGACAAGGTTAGGTTAAGGATCCATAGCTTTATAGACAAGCTATTTACAAGTTAAGGATTTCTAACTTTATTGACAAGCTAAGAGCTGTTAGCGCTCTCTCTCTCTCCCCCTCACATGCACGCAACCTTCCCACACACACACACAACAAAACACACACACACACACACACACACACACACACACACACCACATAGGTTGTGGACACAAGCGACAACTGAGAATCTACATTACACTCCAAGCACAAGCCACCTACTTTTCAGACACATAGTAAACCCACACATAATTCGACACATAATTACACACACAACACACACACACACACACACACACACACACACACACACACACACACACACACACACACACATACACACACACACACACACCCACATACACACACACACACCCACACATACACACACACACACACACAACACAAACACACACACCACCATACACACACCCACATACACACACACACACACACACACACACACACACACCACACACCCCACACACACACACACAACACACACACACTGTAAGTGGGGTAAGTCCCAGGAGGTTTCGTCAGGTCACAAGAAGGTGTGGGCACCCAAAGGGGACCCTGAGACTTGCCTTAAACGCACAAGCCACCTACCTTTCGTACATAATAAACCCACACATAATTCCACACACAATTACACACAAAATTACACACTCACACACACACTCACACACACACACACACACACACACACCCCACACACACACACACACACACACACACACACACATATCCAGACACACACACACTCCCCCCTCACCACCGACATCTCACTACTTCCCCTGACCCATCCCTCCCTCGATCACCCTCCCTCCCCCGTTCACCCCAAAACCCTCCCCACCCCCCCCACTCAGCTCCCAAATAGCCACATTTTCCTCCACTACTTCCCCCCCCCACACTCTGACACACACACTACTAACCTAACATACAGAACTACATGGGTTTTCCCCCTCTGAGGCAATCAGGATAAAACAAAAATGGGTTGCCAGGAGTAACAAGAAAAACCAAGGGACAGGAGGAGGAAAATGCACAGGAAAGATTGGGCAGCAGAGCTCATAAAAAGGGATCATGAATGGGAAAAGAAACTAGAAGAACTTAGCATGAGAAAGGAAGAGAGGATAGATATGGAAAGCGGAAGTGGGAGGTGCATGTCAAAACAGCAGAAGCTAGGATACAGAGTTTAGAAGAGGAACTGAAAAATCTGAAACAGCCTAAAGACTAAAGAACATTTTGGGATTGACAACAAGACTGCTACCCCCAGCCACAAATAAGGGGACTGTAGGGAAAGAAGGGGGACAACTGCATGGAGATGCTCTATCAGAGGGACTGTAGCAAATGAAAGAGCTAAGCTTTATGTGGAGGCCCTAACAGACAACAACAGAGCCCAAGGAAAGCCGAGAAGGGGAAAATGACAGGCCACTGAGCCCAAGTACCTTAGCCAGTGAAACTGATGAAAAAGGAAAGCTGCAGTGGAGGAAACCAAATTAAATGAGGGGATACACAGGGATATGCAGTGGGAGAATGAAAGGGTGAGGTCAGTCTTGTGTATGGGCTCCAGGAAGTCGAAGGGAAACATATGAAGCAAGAAAACAAGGGGAAAAAAAAAGCAATTGAAAGCATCATGAAAGCAATAGGAGAAGACGATATGACCCAGCTGGAAAATTTTCGGAGAATAGGGGGTTTGTAAAAAAAGAACCCGGCCAGTGAGAGTGACCTTCAAGGCAGAAGCGACTCGGACCAGGATACTGCAGGAGAAAGCACGATTAAGGGACATGACGGCATACAGGAGGGTGTATCTCGACCGCGACAGAACACAAGAAAAAAGGAAGAAACTGAGAGAGATGGTACAAAGGAGAAAGGAGGAAAGAGAGGGGATGGAGAAGACAGACAGGAATCCAGACCCAGGAAGAAGATCTAACACAGCCCCCCTCACAACTTTCTATAGAAGCCTCCCAACCAGGTCAACCCCCGTGCAACCAAACACTCTAAAATCAAAACACCCATGCCACATCCAATGCCCCCACCCACTACATTACAAACTTCACCCCCACAGCAACAACCCATAGTTCCTTACCAGGTCTCCCACTTCCCCAACCCCAATATACTTCCCCGACCACAGTCTTAGAAAAGAAGTTGAAGGTGTGGTATACAAATGCAGATGGAATAACAAACAAGTATGAGGAGTGGCAAAGAAAGAATCAAAGAGACATCCCAGACATAATAGCACTCACAGAAACAAAACCACCAGAATAATAACAGATTCAATCTTTCCATCCGGATATCAAATCTTCAGGAAAGACAGAGGGAGGAGAGGGGGAGGAGGGGTTGCACTGCTCATTAAAAACCAGTGGGGTTTTGAGAAAATGGAAGGAATGGATGGCATGGGCGAAAGGGACTACTTAGTAGGGAAAAATCCATCTGAGGGACATAAGGTGATAATTGCAGTAATGTACAACCCACCACAGAACTGCAGGAGGCCAAGAGAAGAATACGATGAGAGCAACAGAGCAATGATCAACACACTAGCCGAGGTGGCCAGGAAGCACACATGGGGGGGGCAAGTTACTAGTTATGGGTGATTTCAATCACAATAAGATTGACTGGGAAAACCTGGAGCCCCATGGGGGTCCCGAAACATGGAGAGCCAAGATGATGGATGTGGTACTGGAGAACCTCATGCATCAACATGTTAGAGACACTACCAGAGAGAGAGGAGAGGATGAACCAGCAAGGTTGGACCCTTTTATTCACCCTGAGTAGTTCGGACATCGAGGGTAAACATGTATGAAAGGCCCCTGGGAGCTAGTGATCATGTGGTTCTGTGCTTCGACTACATAGTTGAGCTCCAAGTGGAGAGAGTAGCAGGAATAGGCTGGGAAAAACCAAACTACAAAAGGGGGAACTACTCAGGCATGAGGAACTTCCTTCAAGACATTCAGTGGGAGAGGGAACTGACAGGAAAACCAGTACAAGAAATGATGGACTATGTAGCAACAAAATGCAAGGAGGCAGAGGAGAGGTTTGTTCCCAAGGGAAACAGAAATAATGGGAAGAACAGAACGATTCCTTGGTTCACCCCAAAGGTGAGGGAGGCGAAAACTAGGTGTACTAGAGAATGGAAAAGGTACAGAAGACAGAGAACTCAGGAGAATAGAGAAATCAGCCGAGAGCCAGAAACGAATATGCACAGATAAGAAGGGGGCTCAGAGACAATATGAAAATGACATTGCATCAAAAGTAAAGACTGACCCGAAGCTGTTGTACAGCCACATCAGGAGGAAAACAACAGTCAAGGACCAGGTAATCAGACTGAGGAAGGGTGATGGGGGAAATTCACAAGAACGACCGAGAGGTATGTCAGGAGCTCAACACAAGATTTAAAGAGGTATTTACAGTGGAAACCAGTAGGACTCCAAGAAATCAGGAAAAAGGGGGCACACCAGCAAGTGCTGGATGAGGTTTCATTTTAACCAAGGAGGAGGTGAAGAAGCTGCTATGCGAACTTGACACCTCAAAGGCGGTGGGACCAGACAACATCTCTCCATGGGTCCTTAAAGAGGGAGCAGAGTATTGTTTGAGCCATTAACAAAGATCTTCAACACATCATTTGAAAAAATGGGGGAACCCCTGAGGGATGGAAAAAGGCAAATGTAGTCCCCCAAATTTTTAAAAAAGGGGGACAGAAAATGAGGCACTAAACTACAGACCTGTATCTCTAACGTGTATAGTATGCAAGGTCATGGAGAAGATCACAGGAGGAGAAATGGTGGGGCACCCGGAAAGAAACAAGGTATAATTGACAACCAGCACGGTTTCAGGAAGGAAAATCCTGTGTCACAAACCTACTAGAGTTTTATGACAAGGTGACAGAAGTAAGACAAGAGAGAGAGGGGTGGATCGATGCGTATTTTTGGACTGCAAGAAGGCTTTCGACACAGTTCCTCACAAGAGGTTACTGCAAAAGCTAGAGGACCAGGCACACATAACAGGAAAGGCACTGCAATGGATCAGAGAATACCTGACAGGGAGGAACAACGAGCATGGTACGCGACGAGGTGTCAGAGTGGGCGCCTGTGACAAGCGGGGTTCCACAGGGGTCAGTCCTAGGGCCTGTGCTGTTCTTGGTATACGTGAACGACATAACGGAAGGGATAGACTCAGAAATGTCCTTGTTTGCAGACATGTGAAGTTAATGAGAAGGATCGAATCGGACGAGGATCAGGCAGGACTACAAAGAGATCTGGACAGGCTACAAGCCTGGTCCAGCAATGGCTCCTTGAATTTAACCCTGCCAAATGCAAAGTCATGAAGATTGGGGAAGGGCAAAGAAGACCGCAGACACAATATAGTTTAGATGGCCAAAGACTGCAAACCTCACTAAAGGAAAAAGATCTGGGGGTGAGTATAACACCGAGCATATCTCCTGAGGCGCACATCAATCAGATAACTGCTGCAGCATACGGGCGCCTGGCAAACCTACGGATAGCGTTCCGATACCTCAGTAAGGATTCGTTTAAGACTCTGTACACCATCTACGTCAGGCCCATACTGGAGTATGCAGCACCAGTTTGGAATCCACACCTAGTCAAGCACGTCAAGAAATTAGAGAAAGTGCAAAGGTTTGCAACAAGACTAGTCCCAGAGCTACGGGGATTGTCCTATGAAGAAAGGTTGAGGGAAGTCGGCCTGACGACACTGGAGGCCAGGAGGGTCAGGGGAGACATGATAACGACATATAAAAATACTGCGCGGAATAGACGAGGTGGACAAAGACGGGATGTTCCAGAGATGGGACACAGACACAAGAGGTCACAATTGGAAGTTGAAGACTCAGATGAATCAAAGGGATGTTAGGAAGTATTTCTTCAGTCATAGAGTAGTCAGGCCGTGGAATAGCCTAGAAAGTGATGTGGTGGAGGCAGGAACCATACATAGTTTTAAGGCGAGGTATGATAGAGCTCATGGGGCAGGGAGAGAGAGGACCTAGTAGCAATCAGCGAAGAGGCGGGGCCAGGAGCTGTGACTCGACCCCTGCAACCACAAATAGGTGAGTACAAATAGGTGAGTACACACACACACACACACACACACACACACACACACACTCACCCACCCACCCCTGGTCAAGTGTCTATGGACATACTAACCCCCCTTTCTCACACCCATGTGTCACTATTGCACAAGAGAAATTGTCAGAAACTAAAGTAGTGGGCAGGAATAACAGAGAAGGTATTACAATGGATCAGAGAATACTTAACACAAGTAAAATGAGTTGTTCGGGGATAGGTGTCAGAATACGCAAATGTGGCGAGTGGGGTACCACAAGGATCAGTACTGGGACTATTTCCTGTGTATGTGAACAGCACGACGGAAGAGGGTATCCCTGTGTGCAGATATGGAACTAATGAGAATACAAACAGGTGAAGACCAGAAAGACTGCAACCAGACCAGGATCTGACAAATGGTTGTCATAATTTAACCCCCAACAAATGCAAAGTTATGAAGACTGGGGGGACGAGCAAAGAGCAAACGGAATACAGGCTCAAGGGAAAGGGGGCAATGCCTGCAACGTTTAGTGAAGAACCTCAGGGTGAGCACTGTACCGAATATATTGCTTGGAGAACATCAGCCAAATATAGTAAATGCCACAGCAAACACGAGTCTGGTGAATCTAAGATTAACTTCATTAACCTCAGCAAGAAGTCATTCAACACAGTATATACGGCATATGTCAGGCACATACTGGAATATGCAGCATCAGCATGGAACCAACACCTGATCATGTAAAGAAACTAGAGAAAAAGCAGAGATTTGCAACGAGACTGGTACCGGGAGCTAAGGGGCATAAAATCTGAAGCGAGGTAGAGTGAGCTAAACCTGATGACGTTAGAGGATAAAAAAAAAAACTTGAAAGTGATATAAACTACGTACAAAACACTGAGCGGACAGAGACACTGTCAGCGAGAGACGGGAAAAGAGGAACACGAGGGCACACATAGCTGGCAGTTGAGAACAGTGACGAGTCACAGGGATCTTAGTAAATCTTCAGCCTTAGTCAGGAAGTAGCATGACCGAACTAATGAAGTGGTAGAGACAGGATCCCTACATAGCTTTCAGAAGTGGTACACTAAGGCAACCCAGCAGCAGCTAGCGAAGAGGCGGGACCAGGAGCCAAGATTCGATCTTTGCAACCGCATTTAATCAAACACATACCCACCCACCGACCCTCATAACATTTTTGTGAGCACCTATTAACTCTTTCATAAAGCCAGAACCTAACCTTCCTCATTGCGAAAACATTTTAACGTCTTTTTTTGTTTGTTTCAGGAGGAGTACGTGACGAAACTAGCCTCGAAACTAGCAGCGATACTGCAGCAGCTGGACAGATGCCGAGCCTCGACCTCAGCCGTCCCGTCCTCCCGCGTTCACCCTTCAGCCTGTTTCTAGCCCCTCGCATTCGTCCACATGCAGGTTGCCTACCCTTCGTTTCTTGATAGAAACGGCAGTCACCTCTACCTCCAGTGTTGTCATTTGCAGCGACGGTAGTTAAGTCTACCTCCAGTCTCCGATGTGGTAGTGACTTGCCCCCCGTCTCAGAGATGGTAATGACTTCTACCTCTGGCCTCTGAAGAGGTAATGACTTCTACCTCCCGTCTCCGAGGAGATAATGACCTCTACCTCCCGTCTCTGAGGAGGTAATGACCTCTACCTCCCGTCTCCGAGGAGGTAATGACCTCCAACACCGCCGTTCATCCAGTGGTTTCTCAGAGTTGTTTACCTCCTGTATACAGCAATCACTGTTCATCTGTAGTGACACAGTAACTACAGTTCACCTGTGGTGACAGTATCATCGGTCACCTGACATGACTTAAATGGCCATCGTTCAGGTGACGCAGTAACCTTGGACAACGCACCGACAACCTCTCACGATAACACACTCACTCCAGTCTTGATAAAAGCCAACACCTGCTTACCACTTGCTTACGTTATTCTTGAACCGATTCAGTTATAAGGTTCCAACACTTGTAAAAATTGTTTTAACCAAGGACTTCGTTGAAAGGCAAACTATGCCAAAACAATGTTGATTTATCAATTTAAAGCCTATCGACTACACGAGTCATTATGGCTGCATATAACCTATACACCACCAGTGAAGGATTTTTTTTAATTCCTAAAATAGTGATACAAATAAGTATGCATATACTGATAAACACATCTCAGTGTACACATCTTATCGACGCGAAGACAAGGATCCTCTCTGTGTGGGAATATTTCACAAGGAATAATTCACAGTACTGTAACTGGAACAGATGTCACTTGATAATGGTCCACAAGGGACCGAAACGTCCCTCAACAATGTGGGTTATTTGTAAATTAATATTATCACTATAATTTTAGACAAATGTTAGTGACAAAATGTGGAGCTACGACTCGGTTTCGTAGACAAGTGGTGTAGACTACAATCTCCTTCCGAGCCTTACGGGTTTAGCACTTTCCACTGAAATAATAATAATGCCCCCCCCCCCTCAACTAGCATCTACACTCGTCGCTTCACTTGGATCTCAGGGTACATTTCAGTGCAGTACATTTTTTTCACTAGAGTAGCTTCAAGTCTCTCATTGTTATATTTTTGTATCATCTTTGTTATGCTAATATTGTGATACCTTTGTTACTAATTTTATATTACAATAAATGAAAATGCTCAAATAAATTTTCTTTCTCTCAAAAACATCATGTGAACTGTGAAAATTTAAGGCAAAAGTACTCTTATTGCCTACAACGAAGGTATACAGAGGAAACTAGACAAGTTACTGCAGGTGGTGCCTGATCAGTCAGCCTGGGGGCTGTAGCAACAGGCTGGCTAATTAGGTCACCTTAAACCAAGTTCATTTCATAACTAATGTTGGTCACCGCAAGTACTTTCCATACTAGCCTTATCACCTAGAAATTTACAGTGAAATTCCTTATGGGGTTATGCAGGGATTTCAGATATGTTTTATCATTCATGAGCTGTTGTGTAATACATCACTGTTGTGCGATAAATCACGGTTTGTCACACACATCACTATTGTGTGATACATCACAGTTGTGTAAGTTTATTCAGGTATACACAAATACAGTTACATAGATTATCATACATAGCAGCATATGTGTAGAGAACCTGGGATAACCCAAAAAAAGTCAGAGAGTGACTTATTTCCATTGGGGTTCTTTCACCTTATTATTATAATATAAAGGTGATAATACCTTATTATTATTTTATAATGAAGACAACATCTTATTGTCATACTAAAAAGACTATCTACTACACGAGGGTCATTAAGACTATCTACAATACGAGGGTCATTACTAGAAATAAGGTAAAATTACACCTGTGTTAGCTAAAAAAAAAATACAAAATCATTCCCCTCCTTTTCTGTTGCTACATTCATCAGACACCTTTTGGCACTCTTCTTGAACTGGTTCATGCTATGACTGGCTTTGACATGTGCAGGCAGACTGTTCCACTCCTTTATTGCTGTACAACAAAAGGTATTTGAAGCCTGGCCACTGACTGTGGGTACTACAAAGTTGTGCTCTCTCCCCCTAGTACTATGATTGCTTTGGTTCCCAACCTTGACAAAACTGGCAGCAAAACATTCTGGACACTGTGAGCAATTTTAAATACATGATTTAGTTTCAGTTTTTTACTGTTTTCAACATTCAGCATATCCAACTGCTGTAATTCACCCTGGCCTATATACTCTCTTGGACCCAGGCCCCGTATGAATCTTACTATTTTGTTCTGGGTGATTTGCAGTCTATCTTTCAGTTTGTTTTTTGTCAAGGCAGAGTACCATGAAGCGCAAGCGTAATCCATATGACACTGTATAAGGGCTAGACATAGGGTCCTGCGAGTCTCAGTAGGTAGACACTATGCTTGTCTATAGAGGAACTTCAGTCTGGCATTCGCTTTCTTTACTACAGTGTTCCCTATCAATTTTCCTGACATGCATGGGTCAAAGGGGATTCCCAGATATTTTACTGAGGAAACTGAAGTGATGGGCTTCCCATTACACTGGACATTAAAATTATTTACTCTTCTCAGTTTATTTTCGTGCCAAAGAGAATGGCTTCAGTTTTCCCGAGGTGTAATGATAGTTTGTTGTCTACTAACCATTTGCTGCAGGACTCCAGTTCCAGTGTTAATACATTAGCTATAACTTTTGGGTCTTTACCTGACACTAACAGAGCACTGTCATCTGCATACAGTAGGAGTTTGCACTTGACGCTGAAAGGCATGTCATTAACATAGCATAAGAATAATAACGGACCCAGAATACTACCTTGGGGAACTCCACATGCTATCGGCAGGGGTTCTGATTCCGTTTTGTTGATTTTGGCAATTTGTCTCCTGTTGCTAAGGTAGGACTTAAACCAGTCTACAGAACCTATACCGATAGCTTGAAGTTTCTTACATAATATATTGTGGTCGACAGTATCGAATGCCTTTTGCAGGTCTAAGGTTACCATACCTATGAGGTTCCCCATTGACATTTCAGTTCTCAAGTAATCCATCAGATCAATTAGGGAGGTGTCGATTGAGTAAGATCTTCTAAAGCCTGATTGATATTATACTGAGTATACTAACAGGCCTATAGTTGCTTACATCAGACCTACTATTTTTCTTGAAGATAGAAGTAACTCTGGCCTCCTTGAACCCCTCCGGTACGGTATTAGTGGTGATGGACAAATTTATTATGTGAGCAATAGGGACTGATAATTCAGAAGCACCATCTTTTGGGAACTTAGACGGGATGTTATCAGGGCCGGTGCTCTTAGTTGGGTTTAACCTGCTTAGTTCTTTTTGAATAAAGTCATGAGATACACTTACTAGTTGACAACTGTTTGGGGTTACCCCTTTATTGGTATAGTATGTTTGAAACTTATCAGAGTCTGTGTTAAAGGTATTTGATGCAGCTGGTAGTTTACTTACTAGATGTGAAGTAGGAATTAAATATCTCAGTAGTCATCCAGGGTTCAATTATTCAGTCACACATCACTGTTGTCACACATCAATGTTGTCGGGAAGAGTCCTTAAGTGAAGTACAGGTAGTAAACGATAATCACTGAGACAGTAAACTGGTACAGTATAGTGTGTATAGGTAGTAGGAAGCCCAGCCTGCAGTCTTGTTCTGTCTGCCTGAGGGTAAGTGTCTGACTGGCTATTCCCTCACTGAGGGGCATCTAGCAGGGTTTCAACTCTGCTGACCTGACAGCATTTGAAGTCCATGGCATCATGGCTAACATATGTTGAATTATGCCGACAGCTCAGCAATTCTTACGTATGGCATCCCCAACATCACAGGTAATTACAAAGATAGACAGCAGACTTTTCAGGCTCTGGACTGATTCTATACAATACTAGATATGTTATACACAATAACATAAGGTATACGGTAATATAATATTTAGGACATACTTAAATGTAAGTGATTGTAACTGTAATTGATTGTAATGCATTACAAAGTATGATAATTTACAAAGCATCGTGGATCACAGAATTAATAAAAATATAAGTAAACTTTAGAGAAGTAGACTGACTGATAGATCGTTGTTTATGTGATCTACAGATTCTGAGGAAATTTATGTACAAGAAGAAAGTGCAATAAGATCACAGTAAACAGATGATATCACAAAATGCAGAACATCCAATGTGAAAAAAATGGTGAAATTCCAAGTGCTTTTGTGACTTCACACATTATGAAGGAACAATAAAAATAAAAGGTTAACAGGAAGGCATATAATGACGAGACTACACCTCGCTGCCACCCCTAACAACACCTGACTTTTTTATGATGATGTAGGTAGGTAGTCAGTGATCTGTGAAACAGCTTATATTCTACCCAAAAATTTGTCTAATGTATCTTAAATTCTTCCCAAATCTTATTAATTATAAATGAATCAAATTGATATAAACCAAAAGCAACATTCATATTATTTTCAAAATTTATGAAACATGATTCTTTTATATTCCTGTTGACCACGGACTTGCTTGATATAGCCTTCTGCAAAGAAGTGTTTAACAGAAAAGGCAAACTTGGTGCACACAAATCTGTTACTGTTAAATCTCAGAACTCGAGAGAACATGAACAATTGTAGAGAAAAAAAAACTGATCCACAATTAAATTGACATATTTAAAGACTTGCTACACACACAGATGAGTGCTTTTTGGATTATACTTTATATCTATAGAGGTTATTTACATTTAATCCCAACTCTGCTAGGGTGAGATTTAGATATGCATCTCTAGGGGGATCAAATTTTGTTATAACTGTTGAGGAAGATAAACATTAGTATTAACTGAAACTTGAGGATTCCTCATTACTTGTGTATGTAGACAAAAGCAACAATCGGAGTGTTCAACTGTCTGATTATTAGAGGTATAAGGTATTGGTCAGAAAGATTGTCAGAGTTTGGCTTTTTTTTCTGATAACTAGGAATCTCATCAATTTCATCGCATACTAGTTCATATGGTCTAAGTGTGATTCCTTATAATCTCCAGTACTAATTTCTCTAACCTTATATTTATTTCCATAGATATGTTCAACTACTCGGTAGGGACCAGCGAACTTTTGATCGAGCTTTGGCATTGCAGATGTTTTACTGAAATTAGCTAGCATGACTCTCAAGCCTACTTTAATTTTAGTTGCTTTGCTCGAGTGTTATAACTCCTGTAAATTCTGCCATTGATTTGTAGCATTTCTCGGATTCTTCTAAAGACACTTTGACCTAAGCTGGTATGAGTTGCTACAAAATCATCTGCATTATAATTTGATTTCGGAGTGGAATATAACAACTCATACGGTATATGCTTATCTACACCATACAATGCATAATGTGGGGTATCACCTACAGAGGCATTGTAAGCAGAATTTATGGCACACTGAACATCAGAAATAACTTCATCCCATGTGGCACTATTGGGATTGATGGTTGTTCTCAAAACATCAGGTACTTTCTTATTCTTTCCACTAAACCAATGCTGGCTGGACAGTGTGGAACAATGGTCAACTTAAGAGATCTTGTACAAAATACACAACTAAAGAGTATATGCCTGCAGACTATGTATTCCTTAAACACTGTAGCTACTGCCTTGGCAGTCTTATCTGTATAGGAACTCACAATATCTGGTGAAATGATATACCATAACACACAGATGTTTGCTGCCTTGGAGGGAACACTGGAAAATGGTTGACAAATCTAGTGCAATTCTTTCCCAAGGTTCGCTAGTAGTGAGATATACCTGGATAGGGTTGGGACCATTAACATTTCCTTTGCGCTGCATGCAAACACTACATTTCTTAACATATTCAGAAATATAAGTTGCCATACGAGGTCAAAAGTACGTATTTCAATCTGGCTTGTTTTACAGAACGATCGGTACCAGGGCATGCAACACCTGGTACATCGTGAACTAACTGTAAGGCTACATTCACTAGTGACTCTGGAATTACTAACTAGTATATCCTTGTGCTATGAGTACCCAGATCAGCTATGCAATACAGCAATTCTTGGCTCATAAAGTCACTGAGAGGTGCTGATGGCTTCACGGAAAGAGTTCGATCCTCCTGCAGAAGGGATCGAATTACACCAGACCATATAGGATCTATTCTTTGAGTATTCTTTACTTCCTCAGCAGTGAATGGAGGATCTGCTATTACTGTACT